TATGATATTAATATTATATTGATATCGATTGTAGTTAACTTTATATTGATGTGAATATCTTTCTTATGAAAGATATTCACATCAATATAAAGTTAACTACATTTCTATTTTCAATATAAAGTTAACTTACATTTCTACTTTCTTATGAAAGATATTCACATCAATATAAAGGTACTAATAGAATTTTAAGTATTTATAAACTCTTCCTTATGAACAGATATGGTAAAATTATATTTCTTAGAATTTAAATTACATCGTCTGATGTATTTATAATGCTTAAATAAATTATAGATATCAAAAATATACTGTATAAAAAGTTTTTTTATATTTTGTACAAAACTTCACATGATGTATAATAGTAACATTTGTTTTTTCACAAATTTGTGAATTTTCTATTGTATGTTCTACTAAAACAAACAATCATAACACATTATCTATTTTATTGTTTTAAGTACAGTGGGTAATCAGTTAACAAACATAGCCCATTCCAAGACTGTTCACTATCTGAATTGTTCATTAACCGATTATCAATTTACCATAGATTTTTATGGGAATTTGATTAATTTGTTCTGGAGACCCCAAAAATAAAAAATTATATACTTTCTTACTACATTTATTTATGTGTAATAATAAAAACGCATATACATGCTGCCTTGCATTTTTATCAGTCATGTTTTTTTTCTGTTTGTGGAGTGTTAAAGAATCTGTCCAATGTCGATTGCTTTTTTCTCTTCTTCAGGATTTTTCTAAAGAAATTAACAGCATTGTTGTTATAGAGATCCCTAAGTCTATGAACTCAACTTGGTTTGAATGCCATTCTAAAACTTGTTCTGACATCCTCCCACTTCTTCAAAAGATCTTTAATGGCAGATGTTGGCATTAATCCTCTTTTTCAGAGAAAACATATCTTGCTGAGTTTCTTGATGCTTTCATTCAACAGTTCTTGGCATTCTTCTATCATCAGGTCAGTTTCAGGTTCCACTGTGAGCTCTTCAATGTTTTTTATTTCTCGGATGTAATTTTTGTTACTCCTTTAGCTTCTTGAATCTTCTTGATTATATTGTATCTTTCTTGGATAAGATTGAACTGCAGCCTACTGTAAACCTGCCCATCAACATCAGACATATTCTGTCCACTCTCTATCTTTGTTATTGTGAGATCGAGCACTTTATTTTGCATAAAGTTTAAGAAAATTTTTAAGACTAATTTTCCATTCCAATCATTAAGAAAACATTGAATAGAAAAAGGATTTAATGTCATCTTTCTCATCAACAACCACTAAGAAAGTATAACAATTTACAGTTAAAGGGATGAGAACGTCAACATTCGTCCGCATAAACAGGATGAATCTAACATTGCAGAAACCAAAGATTACATTCTATGTTCCGTTTTGACACCTTCTCTTTGTCTCCTGGGATCACCTCTGATCCAACACCTGTAAAATCAACCTTCGTCTTCAACAGCATCCAATCACCTGATAATTTTCCCATGCAAAAAACGAATATAAGGACGCAGCACCTGTACTTCAAGGCATTCATCCTTAGAATTCCTTGGAAGAACTTTTACCTTCCAAAAAAGCACTCTAGTCTCCCGGATCTCCATAGAACAGAACCAACCCAGTCCCAGGAGAAGATAACAGTTCAACGACTTGGTTCAATTTCCCCTCTACAGAATGAATGCCATGTACACCTCCACAATGACTGAGAATTGCCTCTCTCAGAGGTATTTTAATTAGACATTGTAAACTCTCTCTTGATCTACATAGCTTGGGTAGATAGGAATTAACAGACGATATCAGAACACCCTTGCACAATTAGCCTATGAAGTAGGTTAATCGTGTCTTGTTATATAGCTACTCTCTATATAGTATTTAATCGTATGTTACGTAGTTTTGTTGTATGTCTTAGATTTAGTTAAATAAACCTGTGTTGTACATTTTTTATGGCCTGTCTTCCTTGAAAAACTGGACTCTTATCAACTTACTCACCGACCTCCCCACTCATCCATCCAATCATCCCTCCTACTCAATCTTTGTTTACAACTTCAGAGTTAGGATGCATGTAACTTTATCCTAACTGGTGTCAGCATCTTGATGTTGACCAGATCTTGTAATCCCACCAAAAAATTCATCAAAGTGCCATCCAGTGACAACAAGACAAGTTTTACCAACCCGTGCCAATTAAGTAATTATTAGGGACCAACTCCTTGGCCCCCAGCTAATCTCACATTATTATATTCTTACCTTTTGAAAATAAAAACAGAAGCAAAACTTAACAAGTGCCCACTCAACAGTCTCGCGAATACTATAAAAAATTCTTTCTGTCAGAAAAATAAAAGGCTGGAATTACAATGGACAGTTTCAAAGTTCAGAAAAATATTATCCAATCAGTATATACCAGGTTGAGCATTGATTTTGACATCTCCCATGTTCCGAAAGTTTCGAATTGTTGCCTGAAGACAAGGAAAGAAAATTGGTATTCATTATTTTATGTCGCTTCTTGTGTTTGTTCTACGAGGTGTTCATTGTCTGAACATAAAAACCTTTCACAAAAGTGTTTGTTATACGATTTGTTCGTAGTCTGAACTGTTTGTTAACCGATCACCCACTGTATTAAGCAAGCAAAATGCAAAGCAAATAATTATAACTAATCAATCTCTCACCTCTAACTTATATGATGATAATTAAATAAAATAAAATATTTTTATCTTATTATAATCTTTATAGTTATTAGCTTTATAAAAACAGAAGGTTTTGTAGTAAGAGAAACAATCTCATCTTCAGTTACAGATATTTAAAATTTCACAATTTAAATTCTCAGAACAAAACACTTAAATCTAAAAAAATAAAAACAATAGGAACTAAAACTTAAACATTTGAATTTTTTAACTCTCAAGAAATTAAATATTAGTACTTAAATATTTAACTCAGTAATAGAAAAGTTTTAAATCATCTTATAATTTGCTTAAAAGGCATACAAAATATTTTTCTGAAATAAAAAAAATTATGTACAATAATTTGTCCTAGAGGGATGTCACCATCTCTTTTTAAATTTAATAATTATAATTAAATTTATGTACAATATCAGCATATTCAAAATGTAACAAAAACAAAAAAATATTAAAAATTAAAATGGCAAATATAGAAAAAATACAACATCTAATGTTTATTTTTTTCAAATATACATATATGGAAATATAAATATTTAAAGTAATATATTTTATAAAATGTTTGAATTAAAGAGAATGGATAGTCAGAACAAACTTTTGTTCATTGTAGTTACTAGTCATTGTAGTTAAGCAACATCAACTTTAAAATATATTTAAATAATAAATGAAAATGATTGCTAAATTATCAGGAAATGAAATTAACTTGAAGAATGTATAATTTGAAAAAAAATTTAACCAAATACAGTATATCTATATATTAAAAAATAATAGAAAATAATTTTAAAATATTGTTGATAAAAATATTATTAATAGAAATAAAAAATCTATCCTAATTATTATATATAAATCATAAGAATTACAAAATATTTAAAATAAAATCCAAAACAAAATTAATATTTAAGATTATATATATGTATGTAATTTATATTTCTAGTTATTGTTTTTATGTTAATATAAAATTTAGAAAACAAAATACATTATCATCTTATTAAATGTACTGTACAGTACATATGTAGTGCTTTTTTGGAATTATTGAAAGAATTAAAATACAACTACCAAAACTTTGATTTATGGACTTGGAAATGAGACATAGAATTTTATTTTCAGAAAATAAAAAATTCTAATGTCTATGATTCATTTAGAAACAACTAAATAACAAAGTTTAAATGTAATAAAATTTATAAACTTTTTAAATCCCATTTAATTTTTTTTACAATAGAATTTTAAATAAAAGTAATATAATTTGAAACAAAATTGGTGACAGACAACAGCATTTTGTAAAAATTAATAAAATAGTATAATATAATCAATTATTTATTTAATAAAATGTCATTAGTAATGTTAATTATTACTAAATCTCTTCCATTAGCTCATATTAGTATATTATTAATAAGTAGGTAAATTAAATACATAAATAACTTGTTATTCAGGTTTTATTTTATTTTAGAACATCAGAATATTTACTAAATTGTTAAAAATCCCCAAAGATTAATTCAACTGAAAAACAATTTATATATAATATGGTTAAATGTAATAACTTATTATGTATAAATTTACTTTACTGAATTAATAGGAATAATTATTTAATTTCTTATGACTTTACAACAGAAACATATATTAATGTATTTAATATTTTTAAAATCTTCCAAATTATATTGTTTATAAATAATTATAACTTGGTATAATAAATCATTTGCTTTGAAAAACTATTAAGTTTTTAACCAAAGAATTCAAAATTTTCAGGTATTTTTGACATCCATGATTAACGTTGTATATACATTACATAATATATTTAATTACATTATAGTATAATATTATATATAGAATTTAATTATACAGCAAAATTAATTATTATTATTTAATTTTATTACACATATATACTGTACAGTACATTAACAATCGTGAATGCTATCAGCATATTTGGTGTAAAAGTATTTTCCTATACTGTAAGAATAAAGACATTAATAACAAAAATCTAGAAAAACAAAATTAATAGACCTATTAAGCCAGAAGGCAGACATTCAATAACAAAACAGACTTATAAAAAAATATGTTTTTTTAAAAATATATATAAAGTTATTTTCCCATTGGTTTAGTTTACACTTCTTGTTGATAAAGTTTTTAATGAAAATTTCTATTATATTTTATTTCTATTATTATATTATCAAATTTGCTTATGTTATTCATTATTTTAAATATAAATTTTTAAGAAACAATGTTATCCAATTTGAATTTAGTATATTACAAATTTTATTTCTAAAAATATTTTGTTAATACACAGAACTAGTCAATTAAGAAAATTTCTATATTCCATTGTTTAATATATTTCAATGATTTAAATGGAATAACTTTTTGAATTAAACAAAAGTGTTCTATATCATTTTCTTTAAATAAAATTATAGCTAATGTATTACTGTTTACATCTATTTTTCTCCAATATAAAAGATAAAATTGAAGCAAAATTTATAACTAGTCATTGCCAAAAACCTTTTTCAAATTTCCTGGCAAACCTAAAGATTTTATTTCAAATTTATTAAATTTAATAAAACCTTTTAAAAATACTTAAACAACTAAATTAAACAAAATAAATCATAAAGATAAATCTTATCACAACTTATTGTTATTAAATTAAATATTACATATTTATTCTACTTATTAATTTAACAGTTTTACAAAATGCTTGTATTTAATTTTAAGATTAGAATTTTTGCATCAAAACTGAGGTAAATCAATAAAGAATTTAAATATTTTGCAAAGTTTTTCTGCACTATTTTTTCATAAACATTGCATTGATTTACTGTATCTAGATATAAAAAGTTTTTATTTTATTAAATTAAAAATTTTTGCAAGCAATTAGCAATATTCAGTTAATATGGTGTATATTTACTTAAAATATAAATATGGATAAATCAAGTTTCTACAATGCTACTAGCATCTTTTATATCTTCAATCTAAAAATTTTATTTTTTAGTTTTTTTAACAGAAAAAAATTAACTATAATTATATTACATTATGATTGTATTTCAAGATTTATATATAACTTTTTATTACAGTTAAAGCTTGTAACTCAAATATTTGTATTTGCACAGTATTTAATGTTCTACATATATATAAATTATTCTTATAAATTAAAAATGATGAAGTCAAATAAAAATAAATATACCAACTACATACAGCTAATAAAATTATCATCAATTGGAATAACTTATGAATGTTTTAAACACCATTTTGTAAAAAAAACTTACCAGTAATTAAATTTTGAATAATCTAGAAAAGGAATAATGTATAAAATTCAAAGCAATTTTCATATATCAGGTAAGTACTATATATCATCAATTACTCTATCTCACTCTATTCTTGTTATTAGCTAAAGAATATTTATGTTTTTTGTCATAAAGATTTTAATTTTGAGAAAGAAAATTATTATCTGTGACATTATCTGCATCAATATTATGATGATTTTGTAAATAACTAGTAATGCTGAAAAAATTGTATGATCTATGATCTGATAAAAATCTGAAAAAAAGATACAATATGTTCAAGCACACAAATCATTGTTTCATATATACAATAATAAAATATAACAATTAATATAAAAAGACAATTATCAATATAATGCTGCACTATAAAGAATTCAGAAATTAAATATCACATAAATTTATTATAAAATAGAGCATTTTAGTACTCATTATTAACAAAAAAATAAGTAGCACAATTAGTAGTAGAATTAAGTACAGTAGAACCCTGATCATTTGAGGTAATTTGAACCAATGCTATCTGCGATAGCTGAAAACTTGAATAAAACAAATAGCAACAGCCATTTCATATTAAAAGTTATGAATAAAAATGATTTATATGGTATATCATTTTTAAATCTCTTTTTATACCTTAGTGACTTTAATCGTATATAAGAATAATAAGTTTTATATTATACAGCTAATACATACATGCAATAGTTTTAAGAATAAAAATATGTATTATTGTATGTACAGTATATTTTAATATGAATAATTTGCTTCACATTAAAATCCAATGATAAAAAGTAATAGAACAAACCAAAACAAGAACACACAATGGTTTGTATGTTATCATTTTAAACTTTCTTTTATGAATTACAGTGTAAGAAAAATAGTATATTCACAAGTTTGCCTTGGACAATGCAGAACCTTGATTAATTTGGCTGAGATAATCAAGATTATACTGTATCTGAAAATTTCAAGTTCAGATCAGTAAATAAAGATTATTGGATTGAACTCTACAAGCACAATAATTTTTTGTTCAATAGATAAAATATTTTATTCATAAAGAAATAGAAATTTACTTATTTCAAAGAAAATTGCTTAAAAAATTAAAACTACAAAAAGTGTAAATATGTTGTTCTTGAAATTTTCTATATCAATTTTTATCAATCAAGACAATTTTTCATTCAACAACAAAAATGTTACATGAGCATAAAAGAATGTATCTTTCAATTAATTTGGAAGCTGATAACTTATGTCAATAATGTAATGCAAACAACTGATGACAACTTGATTTGGATGTTAGCTAGTTTTTAGAAAGCTGTCAACTTTTTATTATATTATTGTAAAATATAAATTATCTATCTCTATTTAAAAGAAAAATCATTGCCTATGGGAGAATGATACATCAAATAATATGGTATAGTAATACCTCAGTTTTCATTGACTTCAGTTACTGTCGGTTTCCATTTTCGTCAATTTTTTTTGCAGAAAATTTGTCTCGGTTTTTGTCAGTGTGCCTACGTGACGACCTGCTAATTTTGCAAAAACATAGGGCAACCCACATGTTTTCCTATGTTAAATGCAATGTTAAACATTCATTTATTCTTTACATTACATTAGTCTTTTATATTCATTTTATATTCATTTCTTATTGTTTTTAGTATTAAATACAATATTTATGCTCTATAAAATATGTTTTTGGTATGTATTTTGGAGTATCTAGAACGAATTAATTGAATTTACATTGATTCATATGGAAATAACTGCCTTGGTTTTCGTTGATTTCGGATTTTGTCAATTGTTTCCGGATTGATTATCGATGAAAACTGAAGTATCACTGTACTTTAAAAAAACTAGGCTACAGTAGAGGATACTAATAGGAACATTGATACAAAAAGGAGAAACATCAATATAAAAAGACATTAAATACATTACAAAATAACATATTTAAAAAATATGGAAAAAACAAATAATTCTTAGATGATAGAAAATATATCAGCTAGGATAAAAATGTTAAGATAAATAATGCCAGTGGAAAAAAAAACAATGTTTAAAATTTTCAACAATAGTAGTTTTTTAATTAAAAATCATCATATATTTATATTACTGTAACATTTACATTGATTTAAAATGCTTTTGAAAACAAGAAATTAAAAATCATCAATCAGTACTAAGGCAATTTTTAATCTCTCACTTTACTATTTAGATGTAGTATTTCTACAAAATTATTTGTGAATTTTTTTCAAAGAACAAGAGAATAAACTGCTCTGATAATTTATTGACGTATTTTAAAAGATGAAAGGCATTCTTGATTGCTATCATCATATTTAGCAAGCATTAAAAATTAGCTACTTTCATCCACTTTTAAGAAACTTTTATTCAGAATTTTCAACTTAGACAAGCGATTCCCAAAATTTCTCCCGAAAGATATTTAATTGGTCTTAGAAGTTTTAAGCTGTGTTTTTACATGATTCAATTTCAAATTTACATATCATGACTGCCAATTGAAATTATAAAAATATTCCAGATACAGTAACTTCTCATAATTATCATCATAACCAATTTGCCTTGTGTAGATTTAGTTTTTTCTTCATATTTTACATTAACCATATTTATCTTCATGTGCTATATAAATCATAACCATCTGAAATATCATTAGGAATATATCTTTAAATCAAGTGAAATTACTTATGTCAGACAATTTTATCATATCCTCATATCATTGACTTCTTGATTATTATTAATCAAGTTCCATAATATTCAATCAGTTAAATATTAAAATCATGTGATATATTTATGTATATAAAGCTTTGGTAGAATAATTCTGTTCTAACGTTGTGTAATGTTTATATATAAAGATTTATAAAAGAAAATTACTAACGTAAAACAGGTGATGAGGAGACTTCATTAGTTTGCTTTTCGAAATTGCCTGGATTTGAAAAATAATCCCTTAGTCGAGGCAACTCTCTTCCTCCTTCAACAAGTTCAGTATGAAACTCGAGTGCCGTTAATATGAAATTGTCCTTTAATAATTTCCATGCGATTCTATCAAATGTTAATTCGTGAATATCACCTTCTTGTCCCGTATCTATTTCTACTTTCTTTCCTGTTTCTGCCATCTTGTAATGAAAGTCACGTGATTAGAACTCGCTTATCTCCACCTGGTGAGAAATATCAACAGTTATAATTTATTTACGTGGCCTAAAAATTTATGCGTGTTATCTTCTCATATTTAATCAGTTTTATTTCTGTATANCATCGTCTGATGTATTTATAATGCTTAAATAAATTATAGATATCAAAAATATACTGTATAAAAAGTTTTTTTATATTTTGTACAAAACTTCACATGATGTATAATAGTAACATTTGTTTTTTCACAAATTTGTGAATTTTCTATTGTATGTTCTACTAAAACAAACAATCATAACACATTATCTATTTTATTGTTTTAAGTACAGTGGGTAATCAGTTAACAAACATAGCCCATTCCAAGACTGTTCACTATCTGAATTGTTCATTAACCGATTATCAATTTACCATAGATTTTTATGGGAATTTGATTAATTTGTTCTGGAGACCCCAAAAATAAAAAATTATATACTTTCTTACTACATTTATTTATGTGTAATAATAAAAACGCATATACATGCTGCCTTGCATTTTTATCAGTCATGTTTTTTTTCTGTTTGTGGAGTGTTAAAGAATCTGTCCAATGTCGATTGCTTTTTTCTCTTCTTCAGGATTTTTCTAAAGAAATTAACAGCATTGTTGTTATAGAGATCCCTAAGTCTATGAACTCAACTTGGTTTGAATGCCATTCTAAAACTTGTTCTGACATCCTCCCACTTCTTCAAAAGATCTTTAATGGCAGATGTTGGCATTAATCCTCTTTTTCAGAGAAAACATATCTTGCTGAGTTTCTTGATGCTTTCATTCAACAGTTCTTGGCATTCTTCTATCATCAGGTCAGTTTCAGGTTCCACTGTGAGCTCTTCAATGTTTTTTATTTCTCGGATGTAATTTTTGTTACTCCTTTAGCTTCTTGAATCTTCTTGATTATATTGTATCTTTCTTGGATAAGATTGAACTGCAGCCTACTGTAAACCTGCCCATCAACATCAGACATATTCTGTCCACTCTCTATCTTTGTTATTGTGAGATCGAGCACTTTATTTTGCATAAAGTTTAAGAAAATTTTTAAGACTAATTTTCCATTCCAATCATTAAGAAAACATTGAATAGAAAAAGGATTTAATGTCATCTTTCTCATCAACAACCACTAAGAAAGTATAACAATTTACAGTTAAAGGGATGAGAACGTCAACATTCGTCCGCATAAACAGGATGAATCTAACATTGCAGAAACCAAAGATTACATTCTATGTTCCGTTTTGACACCTTCTCTTTGTCTCCTGGGATCACCTCTGATCCAACACCTGTAAAATCAACCTTCGTCTTCAACAGCATCCAATCACCTGATAATTTTCCCATGCAAAAAACGAATATAAGGACGCAGCACCTGTACTTCAAGGCATTCATCCTTAGAATTCCTTGGAAGAACTTTTACCTTCCAAAAAAGCACTCTAGTCTCCCGGATCTCCATAGAACAGAACCAACCCAGTCCCAGGAGAAGATAACAGTTCAACGACTTGGTTCAATTTCCCCTCTACAGAATGAATGCCATGTACACCTCCACAATGACTGAGAATTGCCTCTCTCAGAGGTATTTTAATTAGACATTGTAAACTCTCTCTTGATCTACATAGCTTGGGTAGATAGGAATTAACAGACGATATCAGAACACCCTTGCACAATTAGCCTATGAAGTAGGTTAATCGTGTCTTGTTATATAGCTACTCTCTATATAGTATTTAATCGTATGTTACGTAGTTTTGTTGTATGTCTTAGATTTAGTTAAATAAACCTGTGTTGTACATTTTTTATGGCCTGTCTTCCTTGAAAAACTGGACTCTTATCAACTTACTCACCGACCTCCCCACTCATCCATCCAATCATCCCTCCTACTCAATCTTTGTTTACAACTTCAGAGTTAGGATGCATGTAACTTTATCCTAACTGGTGTCAGCATCTTGATGTTGACCAGATCTTGTAATCCCACCAAAAAATTCATCAAAGTGCCATCCAGTGACAACAAGACAAGTTTTACCAACCCGTGCCAATTAAGTAATTATTAGGGACCAACTCCTTGGCCCCCAGCTAATCTCACATTATTATATTCTTACCTTTTGAAAATAAAAACAGAAGCAAAACTTAACAAGTGCCCACTCAACAGTCTCGCGAATACTATAAAAAATTCTTTCTGTCAGAAAAATAAAAGGCTGGAATTACAATGGACAGTTTCAAAGTTCAGAAAAATATTATCCAATCAGTATATACCAGGTTGAGCATTGATTTTGACATCTCCCATGTTCCGAAAGTTTCGAATTGTTGCCTGAAGACAAGGAAAGAAAATTGGTATTCATTATTTTATGTCGCTTCTTGTGTTTGTTCTACGAGGTGTTCATTGTCTGAACATAAAAACCTTTCACAAAAGTGTTTGTTATACGATTTGTTCGTAGTCTGAACTGTTTGTTAACCGATCACCCACTGTATTAAGCAAGCAAAATGCAAAGCAAATAATTATAACTAATCAATCTCTCACCTCTAACTTATATGATGATAATTAAATAAAATAAAATATTTTTATCTTATTATAATCTTTATAGTTATTAGCTTTATAAAAACAGAAGGTTTTGTAGTAAGAGAAACAATCTCATCTTCAGTTACAGATATTTAAAATTTCACAATTTAAATTCTCAGAACAAAACACTTAAATCTAAAAAAATAAAAACAATAGGAACTAAAACTTAAACATTTGAATTTTTTAACTCTCAAGAAATTAAATATTAGTACTTAAATATTTAACTCAGTAATAGAAAAGTTTTAAATCATCTTATAATTTGCTTAAAAGGCATACAAAATATTTTTCTGAAATAAAAAAAATTATGTACAATAATTTGTCCTAGAGGGATGTCACCATCTCTTTTTAAATTTAATAATTATAATTAAATTTATGTACAATATCAGCATATTCAAAATGTAACAAAAACAAAAAAATATTAAAAATTAAAATGGCAAATATAGAAAAAATACAACATCTAATGTTTATTTTTTTCAAATATACATATATGGAAATATAAATATTTAAAGTAATATATTTTATAAAATGTTTGAATTAAAGAGAATGGATAGTCAGAACAAACTTTTGTTCATTGTAGTTACTAGTCATTGTAGTTAAGCAACATCAACTTTAAAATATATTTAAATAATAAATGAAAATGATTGCTAAATTATCAGGAAATGAAATTAACTTGAAGAATGTATAATTTGAAAAAAAATTTAACCAAATACAGTATATCTATATATTAAAAAATAATAGAAAATAATTTTAAAATATTGTTGATAAAAATATTATTAATAGAAATAAAAAATCTATCCTAATTATTATATATAAATCATAAGAATTACAAAATATTTAAAATAAAATCCAAAACAAAATTAATATTTAAGATTATATATATGTATGTAATTTATATTTCTAGTTATTGTTTTTATGTTAATATAAAATTTAGAAAACAAAATACATTATCATCTTATTAAATGTACTGTACAGTACATATGTAGTGCTTTTTTGGAATTATTGAAAGAATTAAAATACAACTACCAAAACTTTGATTTATGGACTTGGAAATGAGACATAGAATTTTATTTTCAGAAAATAAAAAATTCTAATGTCTATGATTCATTTAGAAACAACTAAATAACAAAGTTTAAATGTAATAAAATTTATAAACTTTTTAAATCCCATTTAATTTTTTTTACAATAGAATTTTAAATAAAAGTAATATAATTTGAAACAAAATTGGTGACAGACAACAGCATTTTGTAAAAATTAATAAAATAGTATAATATAATCAATTATTTATTTAATAAAATGTCATTAGTAATGTTAATTATTACTAAATCTCTTCCATTAGCTCATATTAGTATATTATTAATAAGTAGGTAAATTAAATACATAAATAACTTGTTATTCAGGTTTTATTTTATTTTAGAACATCAGAATATTTACTAAATTGTTAAAAATCCCCAAAGATTAATTCAACTGAAAAACAATTTATATATAATATGGTTAAATGTAATAACTTATTATGTATAAATTTACTTTACTGAATTAATAGGAATAATTATTTAATTTCTTATGACTTTACAACAGAAACATATATTAATGTATTTAATATTTTTAAAATCTTCCAAATTATATTGTTTATAAATAATTATAACTTGGTATAATAAATCATTTGCTTTGAAAAACTATTAAGTTTTTAACCAAAGAATTCAAAATTTTCAGGTATTTTTGACATCCATGATTAACGTTGTATATACATTACATAATATATTTAATTACATTATAGTATAATATTATATATAGAATTTAATTATACAGCAAAATTAATTATTATTATTTAATTTTATTACACATATATACTGTACAGTACATTAACAATCGTGAATGCTATCAGCATATTTGGTGTAAAAGTATTTTCCTATACTGTAAGAATAAAGACATTAATAACAAAAATCTAGAAAAACAAAATTAATAGACCTATTAAGCCAGAAGGCAGACATTCAATAACAAAACAGACTTATAAAAAAATATGTTTTTTTAAAAATATATATAAAGTTATTTTCCCATTGGTTTAGTTTACACTTCTTGTTGATAAAGTTTTTAATGAAAATTTCTATTATATTTTATTTCTATTATTATATTATCAAATTTGCTTATGTTATTCATTATTTTAAATATAAATTTTTAAGAAACAATGTTATCCAATTTGAATTTAGTATATTACAAATTTTATTTCTAAAAATATTTTGTTAATACACAGAACTAGTCAATTAAGAAAATTTCTATATTCCATTGTTTAATATATTTCAATGATTTAAATGGAATAACTTTTTGAATTAAACAAAAGTGTTCTATATCATTTTCTTTAAATAAAATTATAGCTAATGTATTACTGTTTACATCTATTTTTCTCCAATATAAAAGATAAAATTGAAGCAAAATTTATAACTAGTCATTGC